CACAACCAAAGCATAAAAAATAAACAAATCACAACCAAAGCATAAAAAATAAACAAACCACAACTAAAGCATAAAAAAACAACAAAGCATAACTAAAAATACAACATAAACATAATACATTAAAAACACATCTTCACTTTACTTTATTGTCCTTCATTGCCTTTCACTGCCCACAAATGCTCCATCAAGTCCATTTGACGGTGTTCATGAATATATGACGATTGCATCTCCGTGTAGCGCTCAATCATCCGATGCATGAAACTACCGTCTCTAACTAACGGATCATGCTGCACTGGTTCTCCATTTGGGCCCATAAGTTTTTCATAAATTCGTGTTAAGGCCGTGTTCATGGGATCTAGTTCATAGACTTCATCAGCATCGTAATCATACTCATCTTCCACAATCATGTTGTGGAGGATGATACAAGTCATCATTATACTCCTTAGCACCTCCTCATCAAATAGACGTGCCGCTCCCTTGATAATTACCCACCGGGCTTGAAGGATACCAAAGCACCTCTCCACATCTTTTCTGTACCCCTCTTGATAGGCAGCAAAAAAAATTTCCTTATGGGATCGGGGATGTGGAATTGATTTCACAAATGTTGTCCACCTCGGGTAGATATCATCAGCTAGATAATACCCGTTCTGATATACGGTATTATTGATTTGATACGTGATATTTGGGCCATCACCTCTCAGAACATCATTGAACACCAGGGATTGACTCAGGACGTTCAAATCGTTTTGAGAGCCGGCAACTCCAAAGAAGGGGTGCCAGCAACTGCTTCGAGGATGATGCTTTTCTGCCCTTTCCGATTACCATAATCCCCTTGCCAAGCAGATGGACAATTTTTCCATTGCCAGTGCATGCAGTCAATGCTACCAATCATTCCAGGAAATCCACGAGACTCAGCTTTTTGTAGAAGCCGTTGCAGGTCCCTGTGCGTAGGTCTGCGCAGGTAGTCCCTGGTGTACAGATTTTCCACTGCATCACAAAATCGCACCAAGCTCTCCAAAATAGTGGACTTCCCCATCCGGGCAATCTCATCCATCTGATCAGCAGATGACCCATACGACAACATTCGTATCACAGCTGTGAACTTTTGCTCGGGAAGAAGCCCCAAATCTCCAGCACAATTTTTCTTTTGAACAAAGTAGTCATCATAATTGCAAATATCATGCATGACTTTATTGAACAAATGGGGTTGCATTATATATCTTGCTTGAAAATGAACATCAAAGTACATAGATTGTGGGATAAAATAATCTTCCATAAGATTTTTACCCTGAGAATGTCTATGTTTGTCCACATTCGGTGCCCGGTCTTCTCGTGAACTACTGCGGCTCTGGTTTTCTTCCTCCAACAAAGCAACGGCCACACCAAGTTGCTCATCTAGTTCTCTCTGCGCCCTTTTGCTTGCAGCTCTTCTACGCATTCTTGCTCGCCTTTCTCGCTCTTGCCTATCCAAAACATCTTCCATGTCTGACATTGAGAATGGAG